AAAAAGAAATGAGTTGTTATCTGCTTTACAAGTGGCACGCTTCATAAGTTGAGTTTATACCCGGCTCTAACAAGCACCTTTCCCCAGTTCACACCCTTGAATGTTGGCGTGTTTCTCATTTTATCGAATAGGAATGTATAAGAAAGGAGCTGGGTTCTTTCCGCTTTTGCAGTCCCCTAATTAAAATACATGCATACCTAACATCCACGTCCCTTCCCACCCTCCACCCACCTCCATGTATAACACCCTCAACACACAGTGCTTTGCACAGAGCAAACGGAATGCTTGACTGATAAACAACCAGCATATTGTGATACTCTACCACACTGCTGTGGACAGCTGACCACAGGAGAACATATCAGTAAAGAGCAAATAACCACAGCCCAGGAGGTCTGGAGTTGAACCTCAGTTTCACAGCGTTTTCCTTTTCTATTTCATCCCTCCTCGAGTAAAGGAGGTCGGAGGCTTCCCAAGTAAAAACCAAGAGCTGTTCTCCAGGGAAGGCAGGAGGGTAGAGGTCCTGGAGGGGGTCAGCGGGAGCTTCAGGCCCAGGTCTGCCCATTACTTAGTGAGCAGGGCCTTCCTCATAGGGCAAGATGGAAGCATTCAGAAAGCCCCCTTCACACACATGCACACAGGCAGACCTTCCAGCAGTTCCTTTTACAAAAGAATGGGAAGATTTGGAGCAAGGCATTTGGGTATTTTAAATTATTATTATTTATTTATTTATTTTTGGCTGTGTTGGGTCTTTGTTGCTGCACACAGGCTTTCTCTAGTTGCGGTGAGTGGGGGGCTACTGTTCGTTGTGGTGTGCAGGCTGCTTATTGCGGTGGCTTCTCTTGTTGCGGAGCACGGGCTCTAGGCGCGCGGGCTTCAGTAGTTGTGGCATGCGGGCTCAGTAGCTGTGGCTCGCGGGCTCGAAAGCGCAGGCTCAGTAGTTGTGGCGCACAGGCTTAGTTGCTCCGCGGCATGTGGGATCTTCCCGGACCGGGACACGAACCCGTGTCCCCTGCATCGGCAGGCGGATTCTCAACCACTGCGCCACCAGAGAAGCCCGGCATTTGGTTTTTTAACCCTTTCTCAACACCTGCTGGTTGAATGACTTTGGGCATGTTGCAGAATTCCTCCAAGGGGTAGGATAAGGAGATAGATGTTTAGAGCCTTAATCATATAGTTGATCCTCCACCAATTCAGCAGTTTATTCCCCTCCTCACCACTGAGGGTGAAAGTAAGAACAACCTAGAACAGAAATTGCATTTTCCCTTTAAATTTTCTTTTTTCTAATATTTCAGGGTTTTTTTTTATAGGTAGTACTTACTTATGATAAAAACGTCTTAAGTGTGTACAGTGAAGTTTCCTTCCTACCTTCCCAGTCACCTAGTTCTTCCCACAGGCAACCAGTCTTTCCAGATGTTTATATATCCTTCCATAGTCATTCTCTGCATGCGCCGGCAAACATACATGTCAACACATATATCTATGTACTCCTTTACATGTATATGTTTTCCTCTTGGACACAAATAGCTGTATGACTGTTTTGAACCTTATTTTTGCGCTGTAGTATCTTGGAGATATTTTATATCTACACTGAGCATCCTTAATCTCTTTACAGCTGCGGCGTTCCATTGTAGAGTTGTACCATTATTTGTTTATCCCCTCCTCTGCTGATGAATTATTTAGGTCATTTCCAGAGGTTTGCTGTTATAACCCATGCCACAGTGAACATTCTTGTACATCTGTCACTTTGCACATGGGTGAGCATACTTGTAGAATAAATTTCCAGAGAGGAATTGCTAGATCAGAGGAGATGTGATGAGGCTATTTGAATAATTTTGATAGACCTGGTCAAGAGGCCCTCATACAATTTGTACTTGTTTGCTGCCCAGCAGCAATGTGTGAAAGCAGAGCTGAGTTTCTAAGCCTGGGTGGAACCCTCATACCTCAGAGATTGAGTACCAAGTCTTACATTTCCCCAACAGCTCCACTTACATGGTGTTTGTGTGTGATTTCATTTGAGGAGGGTTGTTTTGTAAGTGGCTAAGAAAAGCTTGAGAACCGTGATGTAGGAAGTCATCACTGTTCTTTCTCTTAGCCCTCCAGTTTGAAGGAGTGACAGAGAAAATGAGATCGCTCCACCCCCTACAAGAAGATCCTTAGACAAGTAACGTGGAGAGAATAGTTCATATGGTAGCTGGAAAGATGGAGTGGGTAGAAAGATTTCCAGGAAGCAGAAATAGAGGCCAAGGTATAATGAGATAAGAGTTAGTCTCATAGGCCCCCACATTAGCTGGGGTTCTCCAGAAGATCTCATTTGTTCTCATCTGAGCCAACTTTAAGGGCTTATCGTATGCCAAACCCCATACCAGTACTGGAAATAGAGATGCACATGGTCGGTCCCTGCTCTGAAGAAGCTCTTACAGAGAAGACAGTCATGTAGGCAGACAAGTTCTATATAATGTTATAGAAACAACAGCAATGGTGACAGCTAACTCTGAGAGCTGATTAAATGCCAGACTCAGGCTCAGCAGTGTTCCTCACCTCACCTAATTCTGCAGAAACCCTATGAAAATGATTATAGTGCTATCCCATTTCACAGATCAGGAAACCAAGACCCAGGGAAGTTGAGGGACAGTCCCAACACCACACAGTAAGTGGCAAAGCTGGGGTTCAGGCTGAGGTCTGTCTCACTTCAAAGTCTTAAGGGAAAGTGGGCGTGACGCTGAAGCTAAAATTTCATCTCTCTCCTTCATGAGATGGTTTTTCTGCTCCCTTCTCTTCTCGTAGCACCACATTACTCTTCAGGGTGTGCGTGGGGGAGTTAGGGAAGACCCCCAGAGGGAGATGTGACCTGAGCTGAGGCTCTAAGGATAAGTAGAAACAAGGAGAGCATTCCCAGCAGAGCACCTCTTGGGCTGATCCCCAGGAGAACCAACGTCCAGGAGTCAGAAGTTTCTGCCCCAGGGAGGCAAGTGAGTGGCACAGATAAGATGACAGCCTCTGGAGCCAGACTGTCTGAGTTCAGATCCTGGCTCTGATCCTTACTGAGTGACTTGGGTGCATCACTTAACCTCTCTGGTTCTTCGCCTGTAACATGGGGCTGTACAGTACTGACCTCCTGGCTTATTATAAGCATGGAATGAGTTACCATATCTGGAGCTTAGAATAGTGCCTGGAAGCACATGCTCTATATATTTGTTCCCACTGTAGAATCTCCAGGATCCAGGTACAACCTAGATGTAAAGAAGAGGAAAACAAAATTGTGAAGTTCACCTGTGGTGCTTAGTATAGAGAACATGAGCTCCCAAAATGTAATGGGGTGCTATCAAAAACAGAAGGAAGCGGAAAACCATTTAGTGGAGGAGGGACATGCGCTTTTAGCCCAGAATTGTCTTGTCAGGCACGGTCATGCTTATCAGCTTTCAGTTATCTGAAATTGTGAGTCAAAAATGGGCTTTTTTATTTGTTGTCTACTTCTTTATGCCATCTTTATTGGTATTAAAGTGCAGTGGTCTGTCTCAAATAAGGTGAAAAAGCAGAGGAGGATAAAATAAAAGGAACCGCATTTGATGTAACTCTTAGTTTTCCCCTCTTCCTCTTTGATGCCATAAAATGTTTTCAGAAAACCCTAGAGAAGATGTAAGATAAATGCTGCAGCTTCCTCATTTACCCACATAGCATTTATCTCTCCTCCACCAAGTCAAATCACTTTTTTCTGAGAACAATATTCTATAACAGAATACAAGAGAAGTAGAAATGAGAGGAAAGTCCTTCTCCAAGAAGTCGGTCCATGTGATTTACATTTTGTCTTCATAGTCTCTGGCCTTTTTCTCCTTTACCCCAAACTCACATTCCCAGTTCTATTCCCAGGCCAAACCCCATGCTTGGACCACCCTTTCTCCAGGCCAGTTTTATCTCCGAATGATTTGAGCAACACCTAAGAATTCATCTTCTTGGGAAAAGAAATTTTAATAGAGAGGAGAGAGTACTGAACTCTTCGGGTGGCAGAGTGCAGTTGGAGGGGTGGCGAGACTTGCCGAGGAAGGTGACTTCTGAGCTGGATTTTGAGGGCAATGGCTGCTACCATTGATAAGTCTTGCATGGTGTCCAATTCATGCAAAGTACCAAATAAAAGTTTGCTGAGTTAATAAACTTTATAATTTACGAAGCAATTATACTTTCCCAGTATCTCTAATATTCTACCATTTAACACGTTCTTGGGAGAGGAAGACCTGGCCACTTCATGCTGCATTGTATGGTCCTGGAAGCTCTATCTGTTACCTGGAAAACCTCTCAGTAGGGTAGGAACACCTACTGGGAACTCAGTGTTGTGGGGGGTGTGTGTGTGTGTGTGTGTGTGTGTGTGTATGAGTCCTGTGAGAAACTGCAGAGGCTGGGTGGGCCCTTGGCTGAGAGAGCAGCAATCTTAAGTACATGCTCTAGAAGAGAGAGGGACCCCTTCCAGGAGAGGAGGAACATGGGAAAGGAGCGGGAGAGAGGCAATTTCTAGAGACGTGCCTCTGACCTCACCCCTGAGCCAGGCCAGAGCTCATCACCTAACTCTTGTGTCTATCACCCAAACCAGTTTCAGATATTAAAATTCCTGAAAATGACACGGGAGGGGATGAGGTAGACGACAAAAGGAGATAAAAACAAAATGAATTTTTAGTTGAATTTCTCTAACGACCTTACTGAGAAAAAAAAAAAAACAAGATATGAGGCTTAGCCTTGGTATTAGTTGAAAGCTACTTAATTTCATTTAGCTCTAGCTCTCTCCTGACATAATGATGTGAATGTTCTCAGGAGGCTGAGAACCGAGCTGCTGAGAGTTGTGAGCCTTTTGCCTCTGGTGTGACCTCTGGGTTCTCTCATTGCTGTTCCAGACATACCCTCTCTGTGACAGACGGAAGACACCTCTGTCTAAGTCACACCAAATTATATCAAAGATTAGATCCCTTGCCTCCAATTAATCCTCAATTTGTGCTTTCAATGTGTGTGTGCAGCTTCATCATACACAACAAAGACACTTTCTTCAACAATGCCACGAGAAGTAGAATCGTACATCATATTTTGCAAAGAATAAAGTATGAAGAAGGAAAAAACAAAATTGGTAAGTAGTATGTTAGTATAACAAGTTACATTTGATTTGGGGGATTACAGACTCTATCCTTTGGTCTTATTAAGTTGATATCAATTCTAGAAATGCTCATGATTCATAAAGGCTCTACCTGCATACTCCCCTGATGGATAACTCAGGAGTGTAAAATCTTAATAGAATCCTTAGATCGCTTTTTAAAAAATAACATGGCATCTCATTTATCTAAGATCATGGAGAAGTGCTCTCAATTCAACAGATATGTAAGGAGCGCCCATTATGTGCCAGGTACTGGGTGAGGTGTTGGGGAGATGGGCACCGTTCTCTCCTGGAGCATATGTTCAAGGAGTTAAAAACAGACAATAAATAAGTAAAGACAATACATAACATGAAGAAATCGAAATGGATGATGTTTCAGAGATAGACGGCTAAGGGGTGGGGGTGAGTTCAAGCTGAGATGGATGGAGTGGTCAGGGAAAGCTTTTCTGAGACGCTGAATTTGCACTGAAACCTGAATGACAAGAGGGAGCCAGTGTGGGAAGTTGGAAGAGCAGGTGTTCCAGGCACAGGGAGCAGCAAAGGGCAGAGAAGAGCCGTCACACATAAGTACATCCTCCCAATAATCACCTCCCCCAGTAAATAACCTCCACACAGTATATTTGGGGCATTTGTATGAGAGTCTTTCCATAATATATTACCAAATATCCTTCCTTATTAAACAGATTACTATATATCAGGAGGATTTGGGTGGCTTTGTTTTGGGGTATCTCTGTCCCAGTGAGATTTTTATCAATACTTTGAAGAATGACCTGTATCAGTCAGGGTCTAATCAGAACACAAAAGCCACACAGAATTTGAACAGGAAAGTTAATATAAATAACTAACTGTGACAGAAGTTTGGAGTTAATGGAGGATTGGCTAGTAAAGGGTAAGAAAACCTCTAAAGAATAGAAAAGGAGCAGATATTAGGAGCAGCCACCAGCCCTACAGAGACTCCCCACAACAAAGCTGAGATGCAGACCTTGTTGGAAGGGGTGCAGCTGTGGTTCACTAGATAGCAGAAAAGTTTGCTGGGGGTTCTGTGCCAGTAGGACTCTGCGAATCTGCCATCTCAAGTACTGGGAGAAGCTGCCTGGAGGGGTTCCAAGGCAGCCATTCATTGGGAGGTATTGCACCAGCGTTATTACTCCGTGAAGCTGTTCAGGGGGACACCCGCCCTTAAGGAGATGCCAGGGCTGCTGGCCACCAGGCACTGCAGGTGCTGGATTCCACAGAAGCTATGAGCTGCAGAAGCCTACTGAGAGGAGCATGCTAGTACCAAGAGGACAAACTCCTTCCTCCCCCATTGTCCCTCCAGTGCCTTCTGCTGACAAAGCTTAACATTGTACCACCTGGCAAAGGAGGAGTATTTACAAGGTCCAGCTCCATTATTGCAAAGCAGGCAATGAACCTGTATTTGGAGCTCAGGGGCAATAAATTGATAGCTGGCACATAACCTAGACAGTCTTCTCATCAGGCTTTCAGGTGGGGTGGAGGCTGGAAGGATGCATTATGTTAGTCATTGGAGTCAGATCCTCACAGATCTCAGTGATGGCATTTAATAGTTTGTAAGTGTAGAGTGCTGCACTCAAACTCAGCGAAACAGCTACCCTGATACCGTGTGGGAGAAATGTTGCTCAACACATCATGAAGAGAGATAGACTTGGGAGGTTTAGTTGAATGCAAGTGTGAGTCACTAGTATGCCGAAGCTGCAGAACACTACTTTGATCCCAAGCTGCATAAATTAAAATACTATAGGGAGAAACAGATACCTAGCCCAGATCTGAATACACCTGGAATCATGTGTTCAGTGCGAGTCAATGTAGGTGGGTATGGTGAAGTTGAACCTGACTTAGGGCTTTCTTGACTTGGATGGGGTTGTAGGTTAGCACGTTCTCATATTCTCTGCGGCAGTCATCCATCCTTGGGACACATCCCCCCCCCAGTAATGTCCTCCATGGCCATTCTGGCTCCAAGAATTTCCTCTTCTGAATTCCAATGGCAATTATTTTTGCAGTGTCTATTTGACGATCATGTACAACTCTTCTTTCATTACGTTGAATTATTTACTTTCAATGACATTATGAAAGTTCTACCAACTAAAGAGAACCACTGTTGACATTTTTGCATACCAAATAACTTAAGTATCACATTAATTACTCTTTTCATCTTTATACCCCATTTGTCCACGTGATTTTTTTTTAACAAACTTAGGATGTGCTATACATACTTTTCTTGGTTAACATCATATCAGGAACATGCTAGAAAACAAGTGAGTGGAAGTGAAATGATTATGGCAGTAGCTATTCTGGATTATTTCATAACATGCAAGTAATTTTTAAAAACAGTCCCTTCGCTAATATTGGTAGTATAATACCAGCACACCTCACAACTCATTATAACATACTAGGGTATTGAGAACCTGCAGCTAAAAACTGCTGATCTAGATAATAAGCTCCTCAATTGTAAATAAGTTGCCTTGTTCACCTTTGTATCATCATTGCCTAGCACAGTATCTGGCATATAGGAGGAGTGCTTGTTGAACTGAATTGAAAATCTTTTAAACATGATCAATGTCTAACCATCAGCATTCGTACACAATCAAAGACTGTGTACAGTGAGGCCATATAGCAATTATTGTGCTTAACTTTTGCATCTCAAAATGTGGGTTATTTTTTACAACTAGTCAAGATGGAGACAGAAAAGGGGCAAAGACAATAATTTTTAAATGTTTTTAAAAAAACACGAGAAGTGTAGTATTGTTATTAGTAAGAAATGATCGTTGTAAAAGTTTCTCTCATTTGATGAAAGAAAGAGAATTGTCTTCAAGAACCCCAGTGCTTTGAAAATCAATAATGACGAACTGAAAAAATATCTGGTTAGAAATAACCGATCTCAGAATAAATTACTAACCCAAGATCAGACATTATGCTGAAAAATATGGAGTAGAACTATAAATGCTCTGTTGACCCAATGTTTCATTATCATCTTTGGTTTTATAAATAAAAGAAACAACATGTTAGAAGAAAATTTAATTTATTGATAGAATTAATGTTTATCCTGTGTTATTTTCTGCCTGAAACTCTTTCTGAAAGTGGCATCTTGCATGAGCCAACATTGATTAGAGATAATACAAAAATACTGTCTGTAAACATGACTTATAAGGGTATTTCAGTGGAGCAAAAATTACCACTATGTAAGTTTTTCAATTTCACTCTGAGTTTATTACAACTCTGAAAATCAAACCTAGTGAAATCCATTTTCAAAATAGAGCAATTAATAGATCAACAAAGATTTATTTAACAATATAAGTGCATAAAATAAATCTTGAGATGAAGTCATATTTTCAAAACTGGTGCTCAAAGGGGAAGTTACTAAGGTGATAGATTTTAAATATTAACTACTTTCTTACTTTTCAGGTCTGTGATAAATTATCATAAATTTACAAAGGTCATCATGAGAAGTCTCTTATTAGGTCCCCGTGAATCTTATTTTTTCTGTTATTCCGGGATATTTGAAAGTTATTGATGATATATGTAGAATTCTTGATAGAGGCTCCAGAAAATCAAAGCTTTCTACATAATCATTTATTCATTCATTACAGAGGTATTTATTGAGGGCCTCCTGGGTGCTAGACAAAATACAAAGCCCTATGGATATTTGTATTTCAGATGCTTTTCTTAGACATTTAGTGTTAATGTCAAAGCATCTTAAAATACATTTACATGTTACCATGATTAAAAATACATAAACATTAATTGACCCTCCATCAATAAAAAGTGAATCAGTGCATGTTCCATTTTCCAGTCAGGCTAAGCCTCTGGGCTCTCATCAGGATCTAAAGCATGGAGAGACCTCATCTCTAAGCCACTTGAGAGACATCCTTCCAGCCATCTTCTCTGAAGTACATTTTAGGAAGTAGTAGTATTCTTGATCTGAAAGAAACTTTAAAGATCAAAACATTACACTTCCACTTCTGGCCAAGATGGAGTAACAGGCACAGGATTTGCTCTCCCACCTGAAACAGTCAAAAAAGGAAAAACAAAAAATGTATGAGATGACTATTTTCAAGACACTGAACATTGGGCAGTCAAGGACAGGGAAGCCCAAGGACAGAAAACAAATGAGGTGAGCCCTGCAATTGCCCCAGCTTACTACAGTGAGATGGTTTCTGGACAGCAACACAGGGAAAAAGAATCCAGGCAGAACCTGGTAGACTCCCTGAGTTGAAAAGATGTTGCTGGGAGTCCAGGGAGACCCAGGCAGCCAGAGTTCACAGGACAACATACCGGAAAGCAGAGAGCTTCCCAGAGAACCCTGAAGATCTGCAGAGGGCCACCTCAAGTATTTAGCAGAGTACCGATTAGTACACACATCAGGAAACTACCCAAGGCCAGAGAAAGAGCAATCCAAAAGGATTTCCAATGAGATTGGAACACCTCTTAATTCACAAAGGATTAAATATAAATGGTCTGAAAATCCCAGTCCAAAATTCAGAAGTTGCCATTAAATTTAAAAAGTAAGACCTGGGCTTCCCTGGTGGTGCAGTAGTTGAGAGTCCGCCTGCCGATGCAGGGGACACGGGCTCGTGCCCCGGTCCGGGAAGATCCCACGTGCCGCAGAGTGGCTAGGCCCGTGAGCCATGGCCTCTGAGCCTGCACGTCCGGAGCCTGTGCTCCGCAACGGGAGAGGCCACAGCAGTGAGAGGCCCGCGTACCGCAAAAAAAAAAAAAAAGCAAGACCTAATTTTTTTGCTGCCCGCAAAGAAACACTCTTTAAAGACACAAATAGGTTAAAAGTAAAAGGATCAAAAATATATATATAGCACACTAACCAAAAGAAAGCTGAAGTGGCTATATTGATATCAGACAAAATAGATTTCAGAGCAAAGACTGTTACCAGGGATAAAGAAAGCCACTTTACAATGATGGAGGAGTCAGTTCATCTGGAGGACATAACAATCCTGAATGTTTATGTGCTTAATAACAGAGCTTCAAACTACATGAAGCAAGAACTGCTAAAAGAAATAGGCAAGTCCATAATTATACGCAGAGGTTTCAATACCCCTTTTTCAATAATTAATAGAACAAGTAGACAGAAAATCAGTAGGGGTTAGAAGAACTGAACAGTACAGTACAATTAACTTTATTGATCTTTTAGACCACTTTACCACCAACAGTAGAATACCCGTTTTTTTAAGTGCACACAGAACATTACCAAGCGACCATACCTGGGGACATAAAACAAGACTTGATAGTTCTTTGACCACAATGGAATTAAATTAGACATCAATAAGACCATCTCTGGAAAATTTACAAATATTTAAAACTAAATATATTTTTAAATAACTCATGGGTGGAAGAAGTCAAAAGGGAAATCAGAAAGTTGCTGTATTCAATGAAAACACAGTATATCAAAAAGTGTGCAATATTTAGGGAGAAATTTATAGCACTAAATGCCTATACAGGAAAAGAAATGTCCCAAATTAATGACCTCTCCTTCCACCTTAAGAAACGAGGGAGGGAAAGGAAATTAAATCTAAAGTAATCTAGAGTAGGTAGATGAAAGGAAATAATAAAAATCAGGGAAGAAATCAATGAAATGGAAAACAAAAAAATAGAGAAAATCAATGAAACCAAAAGCTGGTTCTCTGAAAAAAATTCATAAACCTCTGGTGGACACACCCTAGGGTGACTCCCCAGTGTGTAGTCCCTTCCCCTTAAGTGCGGGTGGAAACTGTGGCTTATATCTAACCAATAAAACATTGCAAATCCACATATCCAATACCCCTCTCCCATTTTATGGATGAGAAAATTGAGGCCTGAGGACAAGAGGACTTTCGAAAGTCATCCCACTAGTCTAATGCAGAGGAGTTAGGTTTGTCCATATTAAAGCTTCTGGATGAAAATGGGAGAGCTCCTGGTGGAAAATCATCTTTTTGGTATGATTAATTCATCCACGTCTCTCAGCGCACGCGCTTCTCTATGCCAAGCACCGTGGTAGGTGTGCTTCACTATTTTGTTTCTGTTTGAAAACCTGATTTTCTAGTCCTTGATTCCAGTTTCCTAGCAGGTAGCAGAACTTTCTAAGCTGTTGTCCCCAAGTAGTTTTGAACCACTTTTGAAAACGTAGGTTGTTTTCTCCCAAAACGGCCACCCTTACGTTACTCTTACATTGTGAGGATTTCAACTCAGTACTGATTCACGTTGGACTTTTTTATTGTTACAGGTCTGAATCGTTTGCTTACTAATGGCTCCTATGAAGCTGCATTTCCTCTGCACGAGGTATTGTCCTGCCTTTTCTCCTTCTCTGTCAATTCCGTGTTATTAAATCAGCTTCTGGGGGTAGTGATTAATTGAGTTTGTTGATGTGATATTTGTTCAGAATAATTTGTTCAGTGGGTAGTGGGGGAGGGCCTATTTGCATTGTGATATCTCTCCCCCAGCCTGGATTTATTTCTCTCTGTCTTTTTATTCTAATTGCATGAGTACTTGAATCAAGAGTCACTCAGCGTGAATTTAGAGGAATAGCTGAGGGACCGCAAGTCATAAAATGAAAGAGGCATTGAAAATTTGCATGAGGCGCCAGACCCAGCGGGAAAATGTCTCTGAAATATATAGTCTCTGCAACAAAAAATTTTATAGCTAATCCTTAGAGAGTGGGAGGAAGCCATTTTGCAAAGTCTCTAGGAACTAAAGGATGATAAATAGAAATTAATAGTATTGTACTTATTGTTGCTTAAGACGTATAAATTTTTATATTCTTATTTACTACATGGTCTCTGTCATCTATTAGGACTTTTATAAATGTAACTGTGATTACCCTTAACTCTGTTTCCCCCATTAGACTTTGGGTAATTTAACCCAGAATTCACTTTATATACATGGGTTTTCAGGGACGTAATTCTCATGCCTGGTGAGAGATTACTGTCATTTTCATGGTACTGAGCCTGTACCAGTCGCAGTACAACACAGGGAACACAAAGATAAATGTCATAGCCCATATCCTCTAGGACCTCACACGGCAGCCAGGGTGAAACTACTGTTAGAGAGATTTTCAGAAAAATCTTCTATGGGAAACAATGTTAACAGTTGGCCAATTAAGCTTGGAGGACAGTTCCAACTATCCACCCATGGCAAGTCTTTCCAAAATATATTTCTTATTTGGCTTATGGTGTTTCTTCTCTTGATTTTAAACACCAGGAGGATGCACAGGATGGTGTCGAATTTTTAAGCCTTTTTCATTAAGGAGACTAGAGGCTTTCGTCTGAGGCCCTATTATAGACAGCCATGAACCCTTTGTGGAGTGATCCTTTTTGTGTAACAGAAGCAAACATTTTGACAGAAAGGTTTTCTGGAGTCACACACAGGTGTTTCTGAATGTTAAAGACAGATGTCCCCAAAGCATGTCGTGTGGTTATTAGTTGGCATTGCCCCCCAAAAAAGGGTTGCAGTGATGACTGCATCCTCCCCCTGCCCATCCCTTGCCCACGGCAAGGGCAGTGTCTGAGCAGCGGTAGGCGGACAGAAGTTTCTGTGCAGGCAAGTGGGTGGTGGGCATCTTGCTAAAGCCCTGTATTTTATAAAAAGAGAGCTTCCAAATTAGTAATAGCAGCTGCAGTAATAACATAATCGCTCTTTTGAATTTTTGCTCTCAGTTTAACTTGATTATATTATTTGACCACATAACAACCTTCGGAGGCAGGAAGGGCAGCTCTTGTTGCCTTGTTTTATGGTAAAAATTTAAATAGAGGTTTAGAGAAATGTTAGAGTGAGTTGATGTTGAGCTGAGCTAGAACCTGAGTTCCTTGTCTCTCGGGCCTGTTCACTTTCCACTAAGAAAGGGCTTCTCAAGTTAAAATGTCAAAAATTAGTTCACCTCCAGAAAGTACCTGTTCTATTTGTGAAACTAGCATTTCTACTAACTGAACTTAGAAACGCCCTACTCCACTGGCCCACGGTCTCCTCATTTGTTCCATGAGGAGGTTGAATTATATTTGAATTATTGCAATTTTTAGCTAACTTACCACTCTTGCATTCTGGGGTTTTCTTATAGACAGCACCATCTGACCAGGTTACAGCTATGGCTGTTTACCAACTACTCTATCTTGAGGCAAGTGGTAAAGAGAACTCATAAGTCTTGGGCATGGCCTCTGGGACAGGATGCTCTAGTCATTCAAACCACAGAAGAAACCTAATGAGGCAGGTGTTCGTTCCACTATGACCTGGGAATCCAAGGCTCAGAGAGTATAAGATCTCCTAGCTAAAATGTAACAGAACTGAATTGTAACTCGGTTCAGACCTGCCTGATTCCGGCAAGCACGGGCTTTTTACAACATGGCATCAACATCAAGATTATGTCCAGAATAACTAATCATACTGCTTTCCCTTCAATAGAATGGATCTGTTTTTTCCTCATATCACCCCTGTTGCTACTCCTGCCATAAAGGCTAGTATTACTATCAGCTTTTCCTTTTGGCTTTTGTGGGTATTACCTCACCAGCAGTGGTGTTTTTATCCAGGGAAGTTACAGAAGTAAAAACTCCATTAGAACCCACGGAGCAGTAAACCACCGCCATCTGCTCCATGAGTGCTGGGCTTCCTGGGGCGTGTGGTATAAATACCAGCCTTTGGACCTTGTAAGGTGAGTTTTTAACCAGATGCAAATATAAAGCTTACACAGGCTGATGAGGGCAGACTGTCAACCGGGACAAGCCAACATTGGGGAAAAACAAAAACGGTCTGCGGTGCACAGCTGACACTCAAATCTGACTTATTCCCAAGAGGGCAGCCTATCAGAGGACATGGGTCGTTCTTGGTAAACCTGACCTCCCTCTGATGAGGCTGGTGTTTCCTCCAAAAGCGCCTTGGAAAGGGGCATGTGAGATCAGCCAGGCCTCCCCCAGGATTCCATAAGAAGCTCATCACCCGTGTGACTGTTAATGACAAATTATCGATAACAGTTATAGAGAGGTAACACTGCTTGCATATATTAGTGACAAATGGAATATTAGTTACTATTATGCAAGTAGGAAATAGAGGGTGCTGTCGTTCTAATAAATTTCAGGCTTACTTTAATTTTCACTTAAAACTAATAACCTTTAAAGATTGTTTTAATTCTGCAAGTCAAAAGAGTATATCTGCTTTTAACCTATGATATTTGTGCACTGAAAATGTGGGTTTTCTTTAACTGTGTGTGTATGCCCAACTTTCTGCCATGGAGGCATTATACTCTGACATCTCATTATTTATGTAGAGACCGATTATTAAGATTGAGTAGTAACAATCCACACTTCATGGATTCCTTACTAAAAAGAAAGTCATGTCTCATTTCCTAGACTAGCCAGATTTATTTCACTTTTCCCCGAGCCCTTCAAAAATGATGCCAGAGGAAAATGAAATAATAAGACAACTCATTTTACATTTCATCTCCCCGGAGTCCTTGTTACAAGGGTTTACTCCTGTTGACCCAAGGCCATTGACGAATTGTGTCCCCTTCTCTGTGTAAGTAACAGATGATCCAGATGATCTGGGCGAGTGGACAGTATTTTCTGAGATGAGATCACTTGCCTTTGACGAGTCTCAGTATACGATAAAATAGTAGGGAAAAAATATCAAAGCCAATTCTCTTCCCAGCCTGAGTCCCATGTTACAGGATTACATCGATTAAAAACTACAGAAGATTGCTGCAGGCAAAGCAGCTCCCATCCGTGACAGTTTCTTGATTAAGATTTTATCATTTTTCAGTGAGTATTAATTAACTGCCCATTGTGTTCCTAGTACAATGCTAAGTACTATTGGCAAAGACACACAGAAGCCATGGTCTCTGGCTTTGAGAAATGCACAGTTTCCTTCAGGAAAACCAGCCCTGCAAACTTGAGACAACTGTAAAACAAGACCATGCATAACTTGGTAACATGTGTGATGGAGGCCAAAAGTTTTACAACAATTAAGAAAAACGGAAAGGATGGATATGGGCCAGTGCACCTGTGGGAGGTGCGGAGCTGAGCCCTGGAAGAGCAGTGGGATTTGGGTTGGCCAAAGGGAGGGGACATGAAAAGCACAAGCAAGGTTTGAGTGGAATGAAGTTGTGGAGCAACTGGGGAATCTCATCTCTTAAATAGTTCTTGTCCTATATCTAGATTTTGCTTCCTCCATATCTCTGGAATCTGGCCACACCCCAGCATCTCCTCTACCACTGCTGCTTCCTTCACCTGTGACCTGGACTATGGCTGTTTTCCCCTTCGTGGTCTCCCTTTTTCCTTTCTGGCCCTTCCACTCCATTCTCCACCCTGGAGACAGAATGTGAAACTGGTCATGTCCCCAGATTGGCTGCAGTCCTCTCATGGCTTTTCATTTTTCTCAAGAGAAAAATCAATGCATTTAGCATGGTCTGCAAGGCCCATCGAGGCTTATCCTGTGCCCACCTCACCAGCCCATTTCTTATTATCAGTGTTCCAGCCACACCACCCTTATTTCACCTGGTCCCTCCTATCACACGGCCTTTGTAGGTTCTGTTCCCTCTGCTGGAAGCACTCTAGCCCATCCCTAACCCCACCCAGTTAACTTTCATGCATCAACCCAATAGTCACGTCCTCAGAGAAGTCTTCCCTGGCTAGAGTTGTCAGATGGCTTTGTTATACACACTTATCGTATTGTGTTCCCCTCCTTTGTAGCTCTTTTCCCAGTTTTGTAATTATAAGCTTATTTCTTTAATTGATTTATGTGTGTTTCCTCTGTCACCCTGCAAGCTTCATAGGAGGAGGGACCAAGCTTTATTTTGCTCGCCATTGTGTTCTCAGAACTTAGCACAGTTTTTGGCACATAGTAGGTATTTTTTAATTTGTTGAATGGATAACTGAATATTTGTGTATATGAATATATGTTGGAAAAGTCTTCTGGAAGTGGAAGGTTTCTGTTGGGACACAATAGAAGATAGGATAAATAAATAATCCATGCTTTTAGGAGCCATTGAGTACTCTAGGAGGCAAGCAGCAGACAGCATTTGGAAATAGATGGTCAACATTCGTTTAGAAGGAGAATAAGAAATAATTTGAATATTCTTACATTGGACTAAGAAGTAATTAACTTCTAAGTTATGAAATTTAGCTGTTGAAGGGCATAGAAAACACAATAATGATATTTAAGAAATAAAAACCAAACTTCACAGACCACAGGGCACTAGGCAGGCTGGTTAGTCTCAGGAAAATATTTATAGAGGTAGATATCAATGCCTGTGAAGAGTCATCACTTAAAAGGGAAAGTTGCTCTCAGAATTGATTCATGTTGAATCTCAGTAATTAGAGTTCTTTCTTTGTAACATCTTATGATTCTAGCATTTTAAACATCTTGTAAAACTACAAAATATTGAAAGGGGTGTTTAAAAGTTTTTCACAGTAATTTTGTTTACTATTTTTTAAAAATATATGTAATTATAATACATGCATTACAAACAAACACACACTCAGAAATGGCAAAAATGAGATTATGTGTTGGCACCGACTCTTCAAATTCCCCTGGTTCCTTGTCAATAACAGTATCATGTATAACTTCCTGAATGAGCTGGGTTTATTCTGTGTTTTCAGAACAAGCTTGCATACAATCCTGTTCTTTTACGGAAGGGTTCATTCTATTTCTGATCTAGAGTAATAGGAAAAGAAACTTAAGTCCAGAGCTTAAATTTGGTCGAACGTTCCATTCTCTCCGCTTACTTTGTCTGCATGGTTATCAGCAAAACCACAACAAAGTAAAATGACTGAGCAAAGTGTTATAATGCCTAACTTTAAACACTTCAGTATAATTTGCAAGGCTGCTGTGTCTTAAACAGGCGGTACTTCGGAGAGAAGATTGGGCTGTATTTTGCCTGGTTGGGCTGGTACACCGGCATGCTCTTCCCAGCCGCTTTCATTGGATTATTTGTCTTTTTGTATGGAGTCATAACTCTGGATCACTGCCAAGTCAGGTACGGGGAGCTCTGGGTGAGCCTGCCTTTGCTTATATTTGGAGTCGGGCATTTGTGTTTTGGGGGTGTTCACAGACGATCGGCCCACTTAGCTATTCATTTTAACTTCTTTCCAATCTCTCCTGGAAAAATTCAAAACGTTCAATTCACCAGGTCTGCCCATCCATTGCCCTTGTTGCTGTTGTCTCCAGCTACCAAGGAAGCAAAGCGCACATTTATGGGTATACAAGCCACTACATATCCACGTAACTAATCACTTTCCTTCACTGGCTCAAAGTTGCTCTTTTTCTGACTTTTTCACCTTTTTCTTTCTAACTAATACTGCAAAATAGTGAGTTAATCATCCTTTTTTTTTATCAATTGTGTGTTCTTACAAGGACCCTGTAAGCTGGAAAGACATCTCACCAACTTGCTGAAACCTTGTGAATGATTCAGTGTTAACAATTGTTATCTTGGCTCTTTTGCTAGAATATAGTTTAAGGTATTCATAGAGATCTTCGTACAAGGCCAGACAGTGATCTTAAATAATAAATAAATGTGCCTTTTAGAAGTGACTGCAAAAATAAAAGTGACCTGCAAAAATATTTTAATTTCTGGGGAAATTGTTAATGAGATGTGGTTTTCTCCCAGAACTACTCCCTAGTATTTTTATTTATTCCTCCATAATTTATTCTTATTTATCATGCACATAGAAGTTAAGACTGGCACTGTGAGGTATCTCATTGTTCCCATAATTCAGTATGAAATTGCTTCCAACCTGTGCAGTGTTGTGAATGACTTCTGTATAACCTGAGGTATAAACAATCAATGTTTTGCTTCATGTATTTTCCTGAGCTTAACTAATTAATATGTAAAAGCCAAGAAACAGCCTCATAAATACGTAGGTTTATCAGACTATTAAACTGTGCAGGGACTTGTTTATATTAATAACTAAGAAAAGGCTAAGAAGCTTCTGAGGGCAAAAATTTAATCTACTGAATCTTATTTACTGGTCGACTATTCTGGTGAAATTGAAGGGGAAAAAAATGCTGTTATGTCATCAAAAAGCGGTCCTTTTTTGTTCTCTTTTCCAGTAAAGAAGTCTGCCAAGCTACAGATATCATCATGTGTCCTGTGTGTGATAAATACTGTCCATTCATGAGGCTGTCAGACAGCTGCGTTTATGCCAAGGTAATTTCAACTAGGCAGCATTTTAGATTGAATTTATTTATTTGTTTGCTTGTTTATGTAAATTTATTTACTTATTTTTGGCTGTGTTGGGTCTTTGTTGCTGCGTGTGGGCTTTCTCTAGTTGTGGCGAGTGGGGGCTACTCCTTGTTGCGGCACGGGGCTTCTCATTGCAGTGGCTTCTCTTGCTGCGGAGCGTGGGCTCTAGGTGCGCAGGCTTCAGTAGTTGTGGCACGCGGGCTCAGTAGTTGTGGCTCGTGGGCTCTAGAGCGCAGGCTCAGTCGTTGTGGCGCATGGGTTTAGTTGCTCCATGGCATGTGGGATCTTCCTGGACCAGGGATCCAACCTGTGTCCCCTGCATTGGCAGGCGGATTCTTAACTACTGTGCCACCAGGGAAGTCCCAGACTGAATTTAATATACACCTTCCTGAGAGATGGTGGTGACCACATTCTCTCCGTCCTTTCTGGTCTTTGATTCTCAAGTTTACCTTGTAGGAGAGACTTACCTTCATCATTCAGTATTCTAATTCAGATATTCGTTTTACTGTATATGTATTTAAAATGTATTGGCTTTAATTATTATCACAGGAAGCAAATAGAACAGTTGATGGAATCAGAGAAAGTTAGGTTCAAATCTTGACTGTGCTGTTTACCACTTGTTACTAGAGGAACATGTTATGTAACCTCTTCTGAGCCTCAGTGTTCTCATCTGTAAAATGGAGAACATGATACTCGTTTCACATGACTGCTTTATAAGACATGTGATAATGAGCGTAGTGCTTAGCTAATGGTAAGGTCTCAGTAAGTGACAACTGCCATTATTTTCCTCCTCTTCATCATCATTATTGTCCAAAAGACCTAGATTCAAGTTCAGGTCAGCTACTTACCTCCTTGACCTTGCACATGTACAGACTCTTTGAGCCTGAGCTTTCTCTTCTCTAAAATGCAGGCAGCGATACCTGCCCTCTCTGCCCCATGGCATGTCATGAGGACCAAAGAAGATAGCATATGTGAAAGTGCTTTGAAAAAAAAATACATAACACCATTATGTCTATATGTTATTACATACCCCTTTCTGATGTTATACCTCACTTTATTAAAATTTTAGACACATTCATCAAATTTCTAGAGTTCATTACTGAAGGGCAGTATCGCTAATGCAAAGCAATGGCTGGAGTATAGACTGATGAAGACTTTTTAAGACCCACTGCCTATCAGCTTACCCAGATTCCAGGTATGAAAGGGGTTGGCAGATTTTATGTAACCTCTACAATCACTGCAGCTCGGATCCATCTAATTATACTGTTGGCATTGCAGAGTTTTGCTCAATTTAAGTGTGGGTACATTAGATAGGCAGCCCAGGATCCCACCCATCCATGCTGTCTCTAGCCCTGTAGGTGGCCAGTCTGGTGGGAGGAACAGCAGCCAGCTGTGATTTTACAAAGATTTGGGCTTTTAATATGTGCTGCAAGGGACCAGAAAAGCCCAAAATACTCTCCCTTCCTTTGGAGAACATACAGATAGACCTGCCTGGATGAGGACAAATTCAACAGAGTGAGCTTGGGAAATAGAGATGTGGTGAGGCTCGAAAGAGGTTGGTCAGTAATATAATTTTGTTTAAAGATCATGAGTTAGGGGCTTCCCTGGTGGCACAGTGGTTGGAAGTCCGCCTGCCGATGCAGGGGACGCGGGTTCGTGCCCCGGTCCGGGAGGATCCCACATGCCGCGGAGCGGCTGGGCCCGTGAGCCATGGCCGCTGAGCCTGCGCATCTGGAGCCTGTGCTCTGCAACGGGAGAGGCCACAACAGTGAGAGGCCCGCATACCGCAAAAAAAAAAAAAAGATCGTGAGTTAAACACGAATGACTCAGGTGTAAAAATCCTGCTTTGGGGGAATCTCAGAAGCCCAGTTTTGTTTGTTTGTTTGGGTGATGTTTGTTTGTTATGTGAAAGATCTGCCTTGAGTGAAATTCCTTTTTTTTTAGGGGAGCTGTAATAATTCCTTAAAATAATCATCATGGATAGTTTAGCGTGCTCAGGTTTTATAGGGCCTTCATTGGTCGGTCATCTTACCAAACTCTCTAGATCTAAAACGATAATAATTATAATAATAGCTAGGCAACCTACATTTATTATTTCTAATTCTCACAGCAACTTCAAGGTAGGTGTTATTATTACCATTTTACTCAGAGACTCAGAGAGGTAGAAGTTGTTTATCGGTGGTCACACAGCAGCAAGTCGCTGGCTCTTGGTTTATCTGAGTATAAGACACGTCGTTGTGCCATACTGAGCTTCAAGATGCTTAGATTCTAAATTTTGGATTTGGCCTGGCCTGGAAACTTAGTAAAAGGAAGGCTTAAGGGCCTCAGAATGAAATAACTGAAGTTATACAGAGTCTCCTTTCGAAATGCCGGACTGATTTAATGAGACTGAGGATGCATAGAAATACTGGATCAAGGAGGAGCCCAGATCCAAGTCAGTCAGCAGCTCTTGTGCTCATCAGGAACGTTTTATCCCTGACCCTCGCACTTGTACTTGCAAGGGTCAGAAACTCAATCAAACTGGCTTAAGCAGAAAGGGATTTACTGGCTCGTTTCACTGCAGAAGATACTAGAGCAGCTCACACTGTCTGAGCAGCAGAACCTCATGCCGAGAACTGGTCATCCAGGCCCTCAGATCTCACTCTCTGGCCGCCTGTCTATGTGATCATTCTGTAGACAGGTGCTCGTCTCATGACGGGAGAGATGGCTGCTGACTGTCACAGCTCCAGGCCTCCATCTTCCTTCCTGTATCTCCCTAAACATATTTGCACGCTTATTTTAAATTCTTGACCTGCTGTTACAGAATGTCTGTTTCAGAAGGTGTATATTGCCTACTTTGGAATTCTTTGGAGGCAGCTGTCTTCCCCAGATATTCTGTGATTTTGGCCTGTGGGTGCTTGTCCCATGGAGGTATCGACCGCTTTGGGTGAGGGTCAGAGGCCAGGTCAGTCCTGGTGAGTTTACAGAGAGAAGAGGACAACGTGTCCCAGGCACCACTGTGCGCTGTCGCTCTGTCAGAGGGCTTTTCTGGTCAGTTTCATTTGTAAGCCTGCTTAGAACAAAGCAGAATTGGAAGGAGGCGCTCTCCCTTGATTGTAACTACCAGCCCTGGGGTTTAAAAGGGAAAGGACCGAGAAGTGAATGTTCGAGGCCAGCCGGCCACGCAGCACCTACATTCATCATCTCTCCGACAAAGCGGGACTCTGGGCGTCCCTGATATTACCCCCAAGAATACCAGCACTTGTGATTTGACCTGTTGCAGCTGATTTCTGAGGGAGGGGAAACTAATTTTCCAATGCCATTGAGGGAGAGGCTAGACTGGAACTTACGTATTTCTCTAACCTGTGTTCTCACTCTGCTTGAGAACCACTACCACTCCCCACCATCTCTCTCTCTCTCTCTCTCTCTCTCTCTCTCTCACTCTCTCACACACACACACACACACACACACACACACACCAGCTTAAGGCAACCTTCTGTTTCCCCTGGCATTTCTCAGGATCTTGGTTTGTGTGTTTTGTCAGTTCCTGAAATCTGCTCTCCTGCTTCTCCAGGTTTGATTTTGGCAGAGGGAGCCATTAGCCTGTCCTAGCTTACCATCTTAGGAGGAACTAGAAGTCCCTATTAATTCACCCTGATTCACATATTTCCAAATCGGTAACTGCAGCGGGAAAATGTGTCTCTCCAAGTGTTTTCATACCAGTTCCAGGGAAGGACTCCGATTGGTTGTACTTGAGCCATGTTACCCAGAGAAGGAGGAAAAATGATCCCCACAGCCTAAAACAATGACAACCACAATCCATTCCAGAATCTTCCCTGATGGTGCAGGGAGTGTCCACCAGGAAATACCCTAGGAGGGAGCACAAACCAACCACTTACCATCAAGGCTTTCGGGCTTGGTTTGATGCTGACCACCTGATATACGTAGTGTAACACTCCTTCTGGCATTGAAATAAGTTGGCTTTAGACTTTTGTCTCACACTAGGTGTTTGAATGCTCTCTACCTCTCCTGTGTTTAAAGAAAGAAAAGTCATAAACTTTTGGAAAATTTTGAAATACTTCACAATCTGATATAATAGGAAAAGACCTGTTTATACTTGGCACGTTCTCCAAGGGACAGTAAAGTATACTTTATAGAGAGCTATTAAGCACCAAAAAAAAAAGGTTATGCTTTACGAACGTATCAGTCATCATTTCAGTTTGGCTTGATGTTGGTGTGATTTATCCTGGAGGTGGAAATGAGCTTGGCAGTGTTACGGCGAAAAGAGATATTTTTGCTTTCTGCTATGATGATTGCAATAGAATAGATTATTCTAGCAATAAAGTATTTGCTAGCTGTCTTTGTGTTATGTGTAAGAGGTAAATGTAGTGATTACCTGAGGCTTTAATAAAGGTAGAAGTGGTTTGTGTTAATGGGTTGCTCTTCTTTATAATGCCATAGTCCGGGGGCAGCCCAGAAAACGTTTGCTCAAAACTACACACACAAAATGGCCATGTTTTCAAAGAGAATAAATGAAGCATTAAAAATAGTGCTGGGGAAATCAGAAACCTTTACAGCAGCAACATTAATACCTGCCTGGTCTTTTTTCTTTTTTAAATTTACTTATATTTGGCTGTGTTGGGTCTTTGTTGCTGCGCAAGGGCTTTCTCTAGTTGCGGCGAGCAGGGGCTACTCTTCATTGAGGTGCACAGGCTTCTCATTGAGGTGACTTCTCTTGTTGCGGAGCACAGGCTCTAGGCGTATGGGCTTCAGTAGTTGTGGCACGTGGGCTCAGTAGTTGTGGCACGTGGGCTCAGTAGTTGTGGCTCGCGGGCTCTAGAGCGCAGGCTCAGTAGTTGCGGCGCACGGGCTTAGTTGTTCCACAGCATGTGGGATATTCCCGGACCAGGGCTCGAACCCGTGTCCCCTGCATTGGTAGGTGGATTCTTAACCACTGTGCCACCAGGGAAGCCCCCTACCTGGTCTTAAATATAAATCTATCCACATGAGATAGGCATGTGTATTAGTTTTTATAGTGTGCGAAAGGAAATTCTTAACAGCACCATTGGGGCTGCTGATAAATGCTAAACTAAGTGATAGCCACATAAATGGAACAAATTCTCCTTTCTGTATCCAAACTATTTCACAGAAAAAATCCCTTCTTCCTTATGGTCCAAAAGGAATATCCCCCAAAGAAACCCTGTCAAATTCATTGCATTGTCAGAGCTATTTTTACAGAACGTGAAAAAAAAAAAAACGTGAATTGCAATATTATATATAGGAAATTAGTTTAACTGTGACTCATAATGTTCCCAGGTAACCCACCTTTTTGACAATGGAGCCACTGTCTTCTTTGCTGTTTTCATGGCAGTCTGGGGTAAGTGTTCTACATTCGTATAACTTGTTCCCATCATCTGCTCTATGATATGTTCCTTTAAAGTCTGATTTTGGATATGAGAGGAAGAAGCTTGAGTAAATTCAGTTGGCTGTTGTATTAGACACAAGTCGATAAATAATTCATTTGGTTTATTTTAAAAGTGATGTTGTAGAGGAGAACATGTCTTATTTCTCTTAAGCCTTCAGCAGTTTCATCAGCATTCCATTATTGGAGTAAAATTCACCTTCTGTTGGAGACAAAAATAAAGCCTATGGTATACCAAAAGGTCTGCTGACACCTGAATACCCATCTCAGTATATATAGGACTTTCTGTTGTGAGTGGAATCTTTTCATCTAATATGTGAGCACCCACCTCTAGGCTTCTTCCAGTTCTGGTCAAAATGACTCCTCATAAACAAAATCTACTCACAATACTGAACTGAGTCCTTCTAAATCACTTCAAGCCAATAGCCCTATAATAACAAGGTATGATAGAACATTCACTTAAAGAATTCCTTAGCCCAAAGAAGTTACTTAACCCACTTTTTGGTAAAATGGGTTTAATAATATCTTCCTAGTCAAATAATTATAGAGCTCTAATTTAATAGTATAGAAAAGAGTCAGGACAAATACATAATAAACGATGAATGGCGGTTACCTTTGGAGAGGAGGTTACCTTTCGCGGAAGGGTAGGTAGACAGTGATGAGAGTCAGGCCTTTTACACTATATATTTTCCGTTTGGTTTGAATTTTTTGACAATGATTATGCATTTTTTCTAGAACTTAAAAAGCCAAAATCTGAATTTTGAGGTTATAGAACTCTACTAACTCAAGCTTTGGTTCATGTTGTTCCTTATGTATGGAATGAATATCAGAATCTTTGCCATCTTTCAGGGCCTAGCTGAAGTGGCATCTTCTCCAGCCAGAAGATGTCTTCCTCCTTTGAATTTCCATACCATTTGGTTTATGCCATTCTTTGGGCACTGATAATGATTTGCATACACAATTTTTCTCGCCAATAGATTCTTGGTCCTCAAGGACTATTATGGTCATGGAAAACCTTATGCATTTCTTTTTAAGACAGAGAGATTAATATTCATTAGATGGATGGATGGATAAATGTATGGATTGGGAAAAAAGAAGGGAAAGAGAAGAAAATTACCAAAAGAGTTTCTTTATAAGACAATAAATACGTTTAAATGGTCTCTTTGGCATGTAGAAATATAAAACCTTGTTTTCTTTGGGAGGTTTGTTCTAAGTATGTTATGTCTTCTTTACCTCAAGCTCTTCAAAAGCAAGTTGTCCCACCCACCGCAGCTCTGTTGAAGAAAAATTTTTGAACCCTGTGACTCCAGCCCCTTTTCACCCAGTGGGCATTTGTCCCAAGAATAGTCAAACCATAGGTTGGTGAGTGCCATGAGAGAAGGTTCTGCCCAAACAGGAGCTGGCAATGCCACCCAGAGTCTTATTCTTAAGAATGTGGATTGGCAAATGTGGAGCGACATGAGAGAGTTAGCAGTAGAACCAGGCACTGAAAGATGCAGAGAGGGAAGAAACGGGAGGGAGGAAGGGAGAGAGGGAGATTGAGATTGACCAGCAGGTAGAATTGGGGACCAGGAGGAATTATGAGCAGGTTGAGTTTATGAGAAATTGAACCTAGAAATAAGCAGAAGCAAAGAACTAGTAGAAAAAATTAGAATAGAGGGTACAGAAGCCAACTGGTAGCCATCTGGGAGAAAATGCAAGACAATCCCCCAAGAGAAGCAAAGAAAGAATGTGGCCAAGTCATGTTATTAGTGGAGTATCAGGGTGAAGACCCAGGGTGTCTTGTGGCTGTAGTCTCTCAAGCTGCTGGCTTCCATATCCTGTCTGAATAGGTCCAGTCTTTTAATTCCCATGGGATTTCTACCTCCTTTGGTGGACCTTGTGAAAGCCCTCACTATTTATGCTACCCCTTACTGCATCTCTTGCAAACAAAGGAAGGTAACCATAATAGAGTTTTGGTTACAGGAATGACCTCTCAGGTCAAGAATGTGTATCTGGCTTTTCTAGAACATATTAGTATTGGTAACCATGATCATGAAATATAATAAGACATCCAGTACTTCAACTTTGCCATGATCACAAATGAGGAGACTCTGGAAAATGTATTCATTTCCTAAATCAGTGGTTCCCAAACTTTTTCAAGTCATGACACATAGGAAATGATAATATTTGCACAGTGTGCTGATGTCCATGAAGGAACCTGCTCATGGCCAGGGATAATACTGCCCTAAGAACCTTAGCCTCCCCCAAAACTGATGGGATTATCACCTCTGGCAGACCTATAATCCATTCCTGGCATACATATTGGGAAGCTCTGTTTTGGGCTACTGGTCTACTGTGTAATAGGTTAATACTTCTGTAGAGAGAGTGGTATTCAGAAGAATTAACACACAAAACTCCCTTATCCATTTCAGTGTTCCACCAATTTTACATATACTTTGGCTGAAATAATATTTTCTTCTCCCACAGTTACCCAGAAGTAAAATTCTGGTAGAATGATAATAGTCTATAAGGTAGAGGTTGTCATCTCCACCCCTCACCCAGTACCACCATTGTAAAGTGGATGGCATCCCTTTCTTGCAAGTTGGAATGTCTTATACTGGGGATAACAGACAGACTTTATTATTTTATCTCTGCCAACCTCAGTGGACTGGTAGTGATTGCCTGGAGCATGGAGGTTGCAAGTAGGTAGACTGGAGATCTGACAGTCCTTGTTCCTCGGAGGGCACTCAGTAAGAAGCTGATAGATGTTTTGTAATAACCTTTGAACAAAGGGAACATTTTAGGGCCATTCCAGGCAACGCAAGCCTGGAATAATTCATTTTCAGAATTGCTTTGTCTTCGTAGACAACTTATTACTTAAATCTTGTATTGTTCCCAGTTTGAGAAAAAGAATCATTTACCCCAGGTGTTTCTTTGTAGATAGGGCTTTGCCTTTTGCAGAAATCTAGAATAGCCAATAACAGTGATAATTAGAATAATAGCATACACTTATTGAGGGCTTACTATATTAAGCATTGTTCAGTATCATCTCAGTTAATCTGTATAGCAACCTTTGAGGAAGGGAATATTACTATTCCCATGTGATAGATGAGAAAATGGAGGCAGTAGCTAGAAAAAAGTGGTAAAGCCAAGAGTTAAACTAGACAAGCTTTTAGCTCCTCCACTCCACTGCTAGGACCATGTGCTGTCTGTAATCCTGTTTGCTTCTGTTTCACGGATCTGAACTTTAAAATAAAAGACTGTTACACTTGTCCCGAGCCCAGTATAAACATGTATCAGTTCTAACGGAGCTCGGTTTAATGGTCTCAGGATCATCCTTTACAGCTGACAAGTTACAACATTTAGGAAAACAAATGCACTTTATTTTCGGGAAATTGCTAGGTATGGAGATGATGAGAACAGATCTAAGGGGTTTACAAGTCCTCAGAAGGGATGGGGTTGGTGTGTCTGTTTTGTTGCCTTTTGCTTTGTATGTTCACCGGAGAAACAATAAGGCTCCATTTGGAAACAGTCTGTAGTTTCTGGAAGGGCCTTTGTGTGGGGTTAGAAATCTTGACAGAACTCCACCACCTTTGTTCCTGTTCACACTCGTGTGATGCAGGGCCTCCTAGGGACTATTCTATGAGCCTAGGGCTTGAATCAGAGTGGCTCTTTCGTCAATGATCATTTTGGTTCAGAAAGATTCAAGGGACAGACAATTATGGTCTAAATTAGCTCTCTCCCTAGGGGAAAAAAAATGAGTCATTAGGGAGTTTGATACTGGCAGAGACTTGCCAGGAAGCATATTATCTCGCTGTTCTTTGTTTCTGTTTTCTTTTTTTCTTTTTTTTTCCTCTTTCAAGTGTTGCCAAAAATTAAATTATCCCCAGTAAACAAACAAATCGAGGTCCTCAGAGCTTTCCAATCAAAATCACAAGATTGTGGTTGTTTAAATGCAAATTCAAAGATTCTGCATATGGTCCCATCAGTAATTTAAGAACGAAGTATGTCTCATTTTTTGAAAATAAATTTTATAATAATTTGCCTTTTGTTTTTAGATATTTACACTAATTTTCATAATCTTATCTATATATCCAACGAAAAACGGTGATTGTATATTCAGAAAATGAAAATGTATACATTTACTAAATGCCTACTAGGTGTGTAGGTGCAGTCACATATGATACCTCATCAATTTCTCATAACCCACCAGGAAGAAATTCCTATCTCCATCTTATAGATGAGGATGTTCAGGCTCAGAGAGGTTATGCAACTTGCCTAAGATTACCCAGCAGCTGGTAAGTGATGGAGTCTGGATTTTAAACCAGATTTCGTCTGCCAAACTCCGGAGTCATTCTGAAGTATGTCCACTGTGGCATTCACCTCCTATAGGATGTTATAAGATTTCATTACTCAGCAGACAGTGCATATTCACTGTCCCTTGGCACTGGGTATACCTAAAAAATGAGTAAGGTGTGATCTCTGCTTTCAGAAGTTGGTAATTATAATGCTAGTTTAAGTCCAATTTATAAAGAGACAGTGAGGGTCCATGCAGCCAACTTCCTGAGGCAAAAAGGAAAAGCAGAAAAGCTTTTACCCAAGAATAGATATTGGAACCAAGTCTTAAATTTGCCAGGCAAATAAATGGAGTTGGGGGAGGTATGAATAACATTCTGAGTGGAGAACAGTGTGAGCAAAACTCTGAAAAGGAATGCTTAGACATTACATGTGCTAGGGACATAGAATGTGTCCTGGTTTCCTAGGGGGTGCTGTAACAATATACCACAAACTGGGTGGCTTAAAACCCCAGAAGGTTATCCTTTCACAGTTCTGGAGACTAGATGTCCGAAATCAAGGTGTCAACAGTGTTGGTTCCTTTGGGAGACCCTGTGTGGGAATCTGTCCCATGTGTCTCTCTTAGATTCTTGTGCTGGCCAGCAAACCTTGGCATTCCTTGGCTTGGAGAGAACATG